ACCGTGTGTTCTTCTCTCTCGAGGGAAAGAATTTTTTTTTCGAGATTTTCACGCTGCTTCTTCTATTTGACTATCGCGATGGAAGCTCGCGTTGTAGAGAAATACGGTGTGCTATTCGTCGCGCCTAATTTTCGCGCGATAGTTTTCAGTTTATCAGAAATAATTGATCGTGTGTTTTTCTCGAGGGAGAGAATTCTTTTTTTTTCGAGTATTTTCTGCTTCTTCCATTTGATTGTCGCGATGGAAGCTCGCGTCGTGGAGAAATACGGTGTGCTAGAATGGGGAAAAAAGGGGGAAAGGGTAAAATAATAGTATCCCGAGAGTTCCTATTACTTTGAAGTGTGCAGCAAAGAGTGTTATCGATTCCACGGGATTGGTTTCACAGAGAACGGGAGAAAGAATGAAAGAAAGTAGGAAGAACAGTGACCAACGTCCAGTCTCCGAAGATTTTCTACACGCCGACGCCTTTGAAAAATTTTCTACCGCGAGTTTGCCGAGTTCTAATGAAAAGCTAAATGTTTCATGAGCTCCTTTCTACTTTAGTTTTCTCGTTTCTTCCTTTGCTCCGTCAATTTGTAACTCTATCTCGTTCGATGAATTTTGTACAAATTTTAGAAGATATTAGGTGGAGGAGAAACGTTCGTGTGGATTTATAGTAGAAAATTGAGGTAATTCGAAGTTTCTTGAAACATAATTTTATTTAACGAAGTAATCACCTGTTTCTATAACTCATTGTCAATGCTCCGTGAGCTTGTATTAAATGTAGATATGAATTCTTTCCGACTTTTGGGTGAAATCGAAGAATGAAAAGAGATTGAAATAATTTGCGTTATCTTTTTTCTACTTTATTTATTTTACGTCTCATCAATAATTAAAGTTGGGTTACTAGCGACTCGGATTATGGAACGGAATTTACAATTCTTGGAGAAGATTTTTAAAAATCTTAGAAATGGTTTTTTTTATATTATTGTTGATTACCTTTTGCTATTTTTTTGGCAGCTTGTGAATACCATCGCGATAGAAATTCGGTGGTTTTGAATCAATTATGTGAATAGATTTCTAAAGAATTCATTTCTACTCCTAATATATTCCGTTAATATAAAAATATTGAGTTTTACTGGCAAGAAAATGAATTAACTGCTGTTTCAATCTCGACATAGTTTTCAAAGTGGTTGCCGGTAGAAAAAATTTGACAGAGACAAAAATAAGCGACAGTCATAAAGAAACAGGTTTGGACTACAAGGAGGATGTGGTAAAACTTCCCATCCGACGTCCTTTATTTTTTCACGAGTCAGAGAAGCGACGTTGTGGTTGTACACCCTTTCTGTTAACAAGTGCTACTTGAATTTTGACGATTTTAAAACGGACTTCAGTGAACAATTAACCTGATAAAACCTTCCGCTAACGCCAACCTTATGCATCAGATTTGGGAACTCTGGTCATTTTAAAGAAATTTATTATTACCTTATAAGTAAATTTATTACCTTTAATACTTATATTTTCAATGAATAAGATTTATAGTAGTTAATTTAATTTAAAATACGTTAATATGTATTAGGTCGTCCCGTAAATTCGTGCCGAAAGTGAAATATACTTTAACGAATATCCAAGAAAATACTATAGCAAGGACATAATAGTCTTCCACCAAAAGTAGAAAAGGTTGTGGAATGAGAAAAAACTTACGTTTTTTTAATAAAAAATCCCAAAAAATACTGTAAAGACGCCATAATAGTCTTCCCAAAAAGAAATAGAAATAGGTTGTGAAATGAGAAGGAACTTCAGTTTTTTTTATCAAAAAAGGTTCGTTGGAAATGTCGATCTAAATTATAAAATTCGTCAGGAACTTAAAAAATTAGATTTGTTGACTGAAAAATCACGCTAACTTTTTTCCAAATAATGCAATTGTGATACACCAGTGAATCTATACACTTATAGGTCAATATTAGATACTATTCTACGATAGATAGCAAAAAAAAAAAGACTTTCCAGTACCTAACTCATCGAAATTACGTTATCCTACGCTAAGCTAAATTGTTTAGTTAATTGAAAGATATTCAGAACGAATTATTTTGATCCAGGTAGCTCCTTACCTCGAACCAGATTATCGGATATTGCATACTCGTTTATTACACGCTGCTCGTTACATAATTGCTTAATTATGGCGCGACGTTGTGTGTACACACGATTCACCCTCCTCTCAATTCGCGTAATACATTGCAGCGCAATTTCTACTACGTTTCAAACGTCAAACACACGCTAATTACGATTTAAGCGCTGCTTAAACAGCTGTTTCACTAGAAAATGAATATCTACAATTCGTTCCAGTTATTCTACATATATGTACATATTTGTACAGGTACATATAGAGAAAAAACACACAGAAAAATTTAAAAAAAAGAAAGAGAGCAGCCAGTGTATTACTCCCCCTTCTGGAAACACTTAAGAACGTCTCGCGTTTGATTCATCATGTAAAGTTCTCCCGATACTTTCGTGCGTCGTAATAGACGTATCTCGTGCAACTTATCTTACGAAATCACGCGACTTACCTATTGATTACGCGACACACGCGACACGAAATCCTCTTGTTCGCGAAAATAGAAAAAGTAGAATAAAATAGAGTGAAATTGGTACACGTACCTTTTCGCGCAGACTATCCCCCTTTTTGCGTCAAAAATTCTCGGTTGAATATTCTAATCGAAACGGATCGTGCACTATTTGCATAAATTATGGCGGAGTAATTAATAGGGTTACTATAGGTCCCGGATTTCAACTTTTGTTCTCATTGGTTTACAAATCGTCCCGGTTTTATGATTTCTCGATTTTCAGAGAGCTCTACAGTGCGCAGAGTTCTACGAACAAATTAAGAATAGTAAAAAATTTCTTAAGAAAATTATATCTACAGAAAGATATGATGACTGATATGGAGATCATCCCGGTTTTCTGATTTCTCGATTTTTGAAGTGACTCGATTTTTGAAGAGCTCTAAAGTGCACAAAATTCTACGAACAAATTAAGAATAGTAAAAAATTTCTTAAGAAAATTATATCTACATAAAAATATCACTTGTCTCCCGAATAAATTGCTGCTGCAATTTTACTTAGCATTTAATTTTTCATTTTAAGCGATTTTCTAACTAATAACAATAAAATTATAAAAACTAACAAAACCGCAATAAAAGTACACAAAATTGCACATAATTTCGTGCAACAAAAGTACGTCAATTTTTCATAAAATTGTCCTTCCCTCCTTCTTCGTACCTGTCCCAGTTTCACGACGAAGAAACACGGTAACTCTCCACACGAATCATGCGTCGACTGTGAACACCACTTTTCCTAACATTCGTCGAAACTTATTTCGAGCTAATTACAGATGTAATCGAGCATGGTGCACCGTGAAGCGGAAGTAACAAGAATGAAATCCGCCTAGTAACCTCACGTTCAGTAGCTAGCAGGTTTCGAGTACGAGCAAGTTTCTTGATAAGCGTCGCTTCGAGACTTGGAATTGAACGATAAGTAGCAACTGTGCAAGACACCCCTCAGTCGTAAAGTAATAAGCGGGCCTGGCATTAAAGGGAACGAAATTGATGCTTGCCACCGACGAGCGGTTTATTAGATTTTTACGATACTCAAATTATGGTCCTGGAAGGAACGGGGAACGACCTCGCTAGGAAACAAACGAGAAACGAAGAGACTATCTCTTCTGAAGAGAAAAATAAAAAAAAAAGAAACTACTTACAGAGAATCTCTCTCTATCCATCTGCAATTTCTCCGAGAAACATTTAACCTACTTACTCTCCTCAGGTTTTTGCATACAACCTAATTTTATCACGATTGGTGCGTAACACTTGGTTCTTGTAGCTCTTGTGTAAAATTAGTCCCAGAGCAGAGAGAAGAAAAAATAAAAGTGGACGTCACGCGACGCGCTTTTCCACGTCACTCGAAGCGTTTGTCGTTTGACTTCGGCCTCTACAACACACTATACCCCGTTACCAGCGATTACGCTATCTCGAAAAAGTCCGAGGAAACTTTTCCCTCGAACTTCGTTTCGAACCTTCGCGGACTGTAGACGTCTGTTTCACGCGAGAACGTCCACGCAACTCGCGATCTCCTCCGCTTCTCTCTTCTTCGCGGTTGCAGAAGAAGTGTAAGAAACACGGAAATGCCTCGTCACGAAGCTGAATCTCGCTCGATTTCCGTGTTTGTGAGAATTCTGTTAACCCTCGAAAGGCGAATGGTTTTAGACGGACACGGGAGACGAATGCAGGGTCATTTTGACCCATAGCAGAATTTCTATCGTACACGAGTTTCAACAAGGAATTCTATATAAATATGCATACTTTCAACTATATATGTGGGATCAGAAATATGAATAGATGTTTATTTCACAAAATATAAGAATAACTATAATACTATGACACACGCTTCTCGACTTTTCCAAACACACTGTCCTTTCATTCTTCGTACGCCGTACTTTATAGCCAGGCCCTTCGTGGGCCTCTTGTCGCCCGCTTTCTCTCTCATGCTCGCCACATTTGCTTAAAACTACTCTTTCCTGTATTTCCTGTACCAAACGTGATCTGAGCCGCCTAACTTTATCGCTGTTGAGTCAAAATCACCCTGCATTCGTCGTACGAGGGTTAAGTATTTTGCAAACAGGTATCTTCGATACGCGAGTGTTTCTACCGTGTGAAACAATAGAACGAAGTTCGCGCTGGAACTTGTTACGTTTCATCGAATTTTATTGGTTTCTGTTATCGAGACGTAGTAATTGCATTTTCGCGAGTAATTAACTGGAGGAAGTATAGGTGGAAAGGTCGCGAGGCTACGTTAGTAGGCTACGAGACGAATGGGTGGACAACGGACAAAGGGAGAGAAAGAAGAGAAAAAAGTAATAATTCGTGGGATAGGAAATGGGCGAAATCACTAACGAGAAAACTTCGACGGGTAGGAAAAAATCGTAAGTCTGGGAATGATTGTTGTTGCTTTCAGGACTACGGATATCGGGATCCCCGTAGACTGTCCGAATTTGACGCTACTGTTCTATATCGTTCAACTGTTCCTACGCGAGCTCTGCAAAAGTAAGAATCTCATCCGGATAGTGCCGATGGACATGACGGAGTATTACGGTAACTCTTTCACGAATTCTCTCGAGTTCTTTTAGCGCGATGGAGAATTTGACGGTGGAACGACTGGCCGGGTCAGAAATGACCCATTAGCGAGTTTTCGGAGAAAGTGAATGTTAAATGAACTGATAAGTAGTGTCGTTTGTAACTTTACGAGTTTATCGATATGAATCTAATTTTTCAATTACGTTTTAATGTAAAATTCACTTTATTCTCCTTCGGATATGTAAAAATTCACTTTTGGTATGTCGCTAGTAGGTGATTTTAACTTGGCCGGTCGTTCTAGTGTTAATTAAGGAGGAATCATATCAATTGCAAAAAGTAAACAGTTATTTGAGGTTGTTTGAAACGTTAAAGTATGAGGTAATTTATAAATTTGGAAAAGCTAATAATACTTGTAAACTTCTTGTCACTATACAGAGTGGGCCACGTAAAAGAGGCCACTTAATTATCTTTAGTGTAATTTAAATGGTTTCAAAGGGTGAATAATATGTAAGATAAATTTTTCTATAAATGCCACTCTTTCTATTTTTTTTCAAGATCATTTATATTTTTTCACATGAATGTGTATATTTTATCTTACTGTAGGTTATATAAATTTATGTGAATATGCACAATAATTGGGCTCTAAAATTATAAATCAAATGTGTTTTTTTCAATTTTCTTTCAACGTGTATATTTTTCACATAAATGTGTATATTTGTTTCTACTGTACTTTGTAGCAGACATTCATGTGCATTCAAGCATGCATAATAATATGCCCTTAAAATGATCTTGGACTCCTGAAATTTTAATTCAAACCTGAAACTTCCTTTCATTTTTTACCATTTCTTCCACGGAGAAAAAAGCGTTCCTTCCATCTTATTCACCCTCCGAAACCATTTGCATTGAGTACCACAATTTCCTCGTAGCATCGTAGCTAGAGAAGAAAATTAGATGGCCTGTTTTACGTTTTACGCCCACCCTGTATAACATGTGTCTCTTACATTTCTTACGGAAGCAATTGGTAGTAACGACAAGCACAGACCTTTTCTATTCCCCTTCCAGAAACAAGAGCCGGTCCATCCAACATCGGCAATGTGATCTCGCAGATCGTCCTCTGCAAACAGATCACGCCAGACTTCTACGAGGAGGAGCTGTGCAGCATCCACAAGGACTCGGAGGAGATCCGTGGGTTGATCGAGGAACTGCAAGAATTTATGCCCCAATCGGGCGGCGACATAGGTACTGGTCCTATCTCCATTTCCACCCTTCTTGCAGCGTACAATTTCATTTCACCGCACTTTTCTCCATTCACCTTTTCCCTCTTTCAACTTCCGTCTTCCATTCGAACTTTTCTTACCTACAGCTAAACCTTCGCGCTACGGAACGACACACCGTGTAAACACAGTATTATTAGTTATCAAAGTGCAAATTGAGACGCGTCGAGGGTGTCTTTCGAAACGATAAAAGCCATCGTCGTCTACCACAGAGGCGGGTTTTCTCGCCGCGATTCCGTGGTAAGAGGGTTGTTAGGAGGGACTGTTTCGCGAAACGACAGAGAGAATCGAAGACAGAGACCACTCGATTTGCCTCGAAACGTAAACGCGTTCGTCGCGCCCTCGGCTAATTCGATTACGTAGTTTCTGCCGTTCTATTTACCCCCTTCTAATATATCCCTTCCTGCTTCTCATAGTTGACCTTTCTTCTTCTTATTCTACTCTCTCCACCCTTCCCAACTCCCTCCCATTCTATTCAACTGTCTCTAATCGGGTTACTCCAGAGGCCAAGGTCTGGATTTCAAAGGAGAACACGGTCTCTCCCTCGTCTCTCTCTCTCTCGGTTCGTCTCCTTTGATTCTGTCCCACCTTCTCCTACCCGCTGGTGTTCCCATTGATTCTACGGAACAAACGTATTACCCACCGACAGGATAACGGGTTCGCTATGTATACAGAGCGCGATCTGACAGAGTAGCGGTGGTTCGCTTCTCTTGGATAGCACAACGACGACCTTAATTATCCGTCGATATAATGAACAAATTCGGATGCACCCCTGTGGCCTGCGCGGCGGATAGCACGAAAATCACCGTACACCATCGGCCTTCGATCATCCCTAACAGTCAATTCGAAACTTCGCTTGCTTATCGAGGGAATAACGATACGACCAGAGAGAGAGAGAGAGTGAGGGCGGTGGAGATTTGACATTGAGGTAGAACCAGGTCAAGGTCGAATAGAGACACGGATTTCCCTCTTCGCGTGTTACCAACGGGAAATTCACGCGAGAGAGACGGAGAGACTGCACGCGGATATGGAGAGAGAAAATACGGAAACGAGTGTAGAATCTTGCGAGTTGTAGGTGAAATTTCGAGAAAGGGTAGGTCGAGTGGCGGTGTTCACGCGGCGTGTCGAGGGAAACGGCGCGAAACGGCGCAAGGCAAGACGAACGACGAGGGAAGAAGCGAAGCGCGAACAAAAAAGAGACGCACGGTTTATTTTCACCGTTTCTGTGAGTCCAAGTAATACCGAATGTATACTACGTAGAACAAATATAGAGCGCTCGTAAAATCAGCTAAAGTAATCGTGTTTCGAGAGTTATCTAACAAACGAATTGACAGAAATACGAGAAGATTAGTAACCGAATCTTTAGACAGGGTTGTGTGATGTATTCACAGCGACTGCACAGGATTTGTCGTCTTGAAAATTTTTGTAACGGTCTTCCTAGCTTTCGTCTATATTCTGCTTCAATTTTGATCGCTTTATACACTGTTTTCGATTGGTCTACTTTGGTTTCGTAGGTTTACAATACGTCAGGCACAGAAAGAAATAGCTAACTGACATTTTTCATTTGTCTGAGAGTATAGTTAAAGGAAGAAATATAGCGAGGTCGTAAATTGAAGCATTAAGCAAAGCCCGGGGTCGAATGCTGTATTTTTCGTTTTTCGATTAAGGCTGAATCAAAGCTAAGCCATACTTAATGCGTTCCTGACTCAGCTTCGGACTCCTTATCTTCTCAAGCTTCTGACGATTCGATTGTCCATATGCTTGAACAGGTAAACTTTGACGCCTGACCGATTTTTACGACCTCGCTATATCTCTTCCATCGACTATACACTAAACACTGTTAGTCATCGGTTGTCTTGCTTTTATTGCACCCTAAAGAAGCAGAATAACGTATACGTTCCTGACTACGGTTAGATCAAGCTGTGCCGCCACTTGATACTTTAATTTACGAGCTCGTTATATTTGTTCCATCGACTATACCACGCGGCATTTCAGTGAAAATTCTTGAAAGATGACTCGAGGCCTCTGGCGTACGATCGTGCACAATGTAGCTGAAGAACAACGCATAAACAGAGAGCACACGCGTGTATACGTACATGTACATACATAGGAAAATACACACAGCGAAGCGACGGAGAAATAAATACGTACGCGTTGAAACGCGAGAGCATTATTTAACATTACACAGAGTTCGGGTCAAGGATAGATGGAAAACGTGGAACGCCTGTTCCTACGTTCCCTCCGTTCTCCACGGAAGCGAGAATTCAGCTGGGCGGCACGGAAAAAAAGGGTGGGAAAATGAAGGGTCGCAGGAGAGGGAAATATGCCCGACCGCGAACCGATAAAGTAATTCGTGCCAACGATCCGCGAAACAATCTGGCGAGAACGTGTGGCAAGGTCGTGGAAAAATCTTTTTTCCCCCATTCCAGGGCAAACACACCTGGCCTGGGCTACCTGTTCTATTCCGTTTCCCTTCTTTCCTCGAACAATCCTCTGTTCTGTCGCGATGAAATTAATATGTACGCGCTCGCGCATCGCTGGCCACGTATCATCAAGCGTTCTCAGAGAGAGAGAGAGAGAGGCTCAGAAGAGAGGTCAAGGACGCGTGGAATTCATTTTTCCGCTCATAACACGCGACCACGCAGTTTTTCGGCGGAAGAAAAAAGTATATATACAGAGAGAGAGAGCTGCGGGTGGTAACTGAAAATGAGTTTTCGTTTGTGGCGAGCGGTGAAAACACGGGAGAGCTCGAGGAAACAAGGAACACCGAGAAAGAATTACGGCTAGCCGCAGTTCGTCAGTAAAGAAATTTCATGTTTTACGACTACAGAGAAACAACCACACGATACATAAGTTGGATAACAACAGTCGGAATTCCCGAGGATCGCTCTCTTTATTGGCGTAGATTCTCTCGAACGGTAGCAGTTGATGTGAAACTAGCGGTGATTTTATGACGATGCAAAGTCGAACGAAAAGAGCCCAGACGAGGAGAGGAATCGCAATTTATTGCGGTCGTCGCGTCGCTCAAGTTAAGTCGTCCTTTCATCGTCGCTCGCGGCAGAATCGCGCGATTTTTCCGGTATTGCCTGGCATCGCGTGAAATGGCACCGCCTTCCAGGAAGCTGTCGGTCTAATGGCAACGATATTTCACGCGTAAGAAGGCTTACGTCATATCTCGCTACAATTTCTTCGACAATTCGTATTTTTTCCCTTTTCATCCGTCACGGTCCCTCCACTCGCGAACACATTCTCGCAAGTAGTGTAAGGACTCGTTTCACGATCGTTCCCTTATGCTTTCCGCTATTCAAAGCGACGTTTCTCGCGGGGAAAAAGTTCCTTTGACGAATCTTGACAAATATCGCTGTCGATCCGTGGTTATTTATTGAAAGCAATACGAGAATCGATACCCTGAATGGTTAGAAAAAAAAAAAAAATACGATAGTTAGAAACATTTCTTTCTACGTGCTAAAGAATGTATATCATTGCTAATTACAGTATAATTTGCTTTTTTAATTTCGTGGAGAATTTCAAAGAGAATTTCTTCAATTAAAAGTTTCCCAGTTTCCGGTGAATAGAATTATACCTCCTTTTAAACAATTGTTTGCCGAAGAGTCGTCGTCTTAGCATTTAGCATACGAAACAAAGCGGCGAAGGCAAAGCTGAGAAAAATGTCCGGGTGCATTTTGATTTGCAGAGAAGTACACAGCTCTGCAGAACGCCGGAAGCAGAGGGAACCGTAGCAACGGCAAACGATCGCATCGATGGAACCACGATAGGCTTGGCAGACCTACTAGACAATCGTCCTATTTTCGCGGAGCGCTGAATCTTCTCTGTTGCGCCGCGAGGACTAACTACGTTTAACGCGTGTCCTGAACACGTGCGCAATTTGCCCGCCAAACGAACGTGAATTTCGTTCCTTTTAAACACAGACCTCAGTATTGCAGCGTGCAATGATGTTTACCGATTTCCTTCTGTATATCAGGAACATCTAAAAAAAAAAAAAAAACGAAAAAAAAAGATTGAAACGAGCAAAAAGAAATCATACGTGGTCGTAAACGTTCGCTATGTTTTGTAATCACGAAACAGGACATTGAACTACTAGTCGGATTAGTCGATAAGGAAACCTGAACACTGAAGCTTTATTTAGTTCGTAAGTACGAATCTGTAAGTATAGGGGGCGTACCTATATATTCCGTGAACGTATTTTTTTAAACGAAGCTTCATTTGCGAACGGAATTATTTAGATATTGAGAAATCTGACCTGAATTCACGATGCAGTCTCGTCAAAGTTTCGCATCGATGATCGACCAATCAGTTCCGTGAAACGATGAAGATAGATCGATTCCTCGATAAATTTATAACACCTTTTTCCTGTTCTTCGATCTGCACCGATAGCCATGGCACGGTATCTAGTATTAAAAAAAAGAAAAAATGAGAATGGTCAATGTAAAAAAAAAAAAAACAATCATTATTAAATGTGATGTTGTCGTTTGTTCGCCTGATTAAATTCAAAATTTGAAAAAAAAAGGGGGAAAATTCGAACTATGTCGAACGAGCTCAAATTTGTCGCTGATCAAACAGCGTACGACAGGAAACTAAGCATCACGTCAGAAAGTAGAGGAATAAATGCCAATTAAATTAGATGTTAACTATTGTAATAGTGGACCAACACGAATCACGGTATCACTCATGCGCAATAAAAGTGACGCAATTTAAGGGGTTTCAAGATTTTTAACCGCACTCAGCTTCGAAAGTACTGCATTTTTATCGTAAACCCTAACACGTTTATATTTTTTACTATTATTATAAGATTATTTACATGTTAACGAAGAGAAAAAGAGATATAATGCTTTCGAATTGTGTCACTTTTATAGCAAATTAGCGATACGGTTCCATACATGGTTTATTTTAATGTTAAATATATTATTATATGAATGTTGGGAAAAGAAGAAGATATATGTATATGTGATGTCTATATATACATACATACACCCATATGTATGCAAATGAAATTGATCCATATGTACATGTATGTAGCATTGGTTTTACAACCACGCATCGATAAACGTAATTGACTATTTTGCCGACGATACTTTGACATCTGTTGTGTCGCTATTTATATCCGGTTTGTTTAAACTTCACGCGAGAAATGTTTGCAGGCAACCCAAATTATTGACTTCCGGTTTAGTGGATACCAGATACCAAGCGTATTCAATGATATTCATACTTTTTTTTTAGTAAATTTCAACATTTCCAAACTAAAAATTAAATGGAACCTTCGATACGAATTTAAACGAAAAATGAAAATTCTGCGTTAACTAATGTTTGACGTAATATTTATGTTATCGATGCGTGTACTCGTAAAGATCTCACTTACTTCCCGTACCTTTATGCATTTCTTTCATTTGGCGGTGCAACAAAACCATGAATTCTTTCGTTCGAAATCTTTATCGACGAAAAGTTTGATTGTACATTAAATCACAGTTGGAAAATAATAAAGAAATCAATGCAGACTAAAGTTTCGTGTTTGATCCTAGCCATTAACATTTACTTTGCCTCTCAACTGATGTTCAATACGCATTCAAAAGTAATATTTAATATACCTTAATTGTTAGATAACAATGTCACGTTGAAGTATCAAGCTCAATTAATCTCGACTTGTCACATTTCACTGACGTTTACTTAATTTTCGTTTCAACTGATCTATCGTTTCTTTTTTCCAAAATATTCGAAACTAATACACTGCTGCCCTCTTGTAAGTACTAAAGAAAAATATAAAAATGGCGCGCAATTACAAAAAGCAGGTTAAACTTGAAAAAATATATATGAATGCAATTTTCATCAAAATTGTGTAACAAATACAAATTCTTTCGTTAACGCTAATGAAATAATTATATAATTTTATTCACTATTTATTATCCATATTATCTCGCGTATCTTCAAATTGCTCCCTCTAGAGATGTCGCTCTGGAAAAGAAAGATGTATTCCACTC